CTCTGTATAGCTCACAACGCGTTTTTGAAATACTCGTATTATATTATATCAAAACACAAACTCTGTGTTCAATGTAAACTGTTCTAATTTAGAAAACAGAACAAATCACATCAAAAATACAAAATACCTCAAACAGTACAGCCTGTGCTATACAGTCAGAAGTTTCTCTAACGCAAATTAGCGCGTTAAACAATAAAGGAAAAGGTTAATACTAAAGGGTTCGACACCTGAGAATTAATACAAATATTCCCAACAAGATGGGATCAAATATCTATCTGAAGGGATTCCGGCAATCCTCCCAAGCAGACAGTCAGACCCTGTCCTTTGCCAGTTAGCAGATCTTAGCAATCCTTCATTACGTTTGAAGTAGTATGATATCCTGTAGTACATATTATCTTGATTTCTGACTAAACAAGTACGTGGGGTCTACTTCGGGTAGGTGTGTAACAGTTAACTTGGAGATTGATCTATGAAATACCTGCCCTTAGTTATGATCTGATGAACTTAACGTAAGTTCCCTCCCTTACAAAGGTCATGGTAGTGTTGCATCATGTATGTGCTCCTGGATTTCCTCTGTTTAAACGTACTCGGAACAAAAAGGAAGTAGGTGTCAATATTCATAAGAAGCACTATGGTCAACTGCATACCGATAATGCACCTAAGTAAATAGATAGTTGCATGAGGAGAGCTAAGTGCGGACTGTCAGGTGACTAACTGAGAGCCTTCGTTTGAGGGAGTGGTTAGCGTCTAACAGTCAGGATCTTTGTCAAACCATCAGTTCTGGAAGTCTAATGTCTATTTCACAGTCAGTCATTAGGCGAATCAGTTCTCTAACTTTGTAGATTGGTGCCACAGAGGACCGTAGTGTGGCGGTAAATAAATCCCCGAAATAAATAGCTCTGTAAGTTTTTGACATCAGATGCTGACCATATTCGTTTTAATGGACTCACCTAGCTGAAGGCTCTCAGTCATGCATCCGCACCAGATCACGAGTAGGAACGCCGTGCTCAACAACCCTTGCAAGCGCTAGCCAGATTAGATCAGACGATCCTCAATATATTGATAGCCTATCAAATATATCTTCGAACCTCCTCGCTTCTGTCTTTTGATTTCACTTGGTGAGTACGATTAACGGTAGAAAGTGTTACTGGCATAAGCGTTGCCAAACTCCAAATGCATGTTGTAACGGAAAGAGAACGATGAAAATCCTTCTGCAGCTTCTTTGTTGAACAGTATTGCCATTAATTTGTAATAATTATTATAATGTTAGTAGGAACCTTAGTCGTAGTATTCATAGTGGTAGTGCTTGCAGTTGTCCTAGTAATTGTAGTCGTATTAGTAGCGGTTTTATTAATAACAGACGAAATATTGGCCTTATTAGTAGTAATAAACGTTGTTTTATTAGTCGTAGTCTTATTATTCTTATTTATTTTGAGCATTTATCTCAGAGTTTCATCTAACGTATAAATCTATCCAAATCAACAGTTTATATTAGTCATCCTAACATGGACGAATTTTTTTGATATTAAAAACGATCTTAAATCAACATGCTATAATTTTAAATGATGTACAATGCCTTAGGCCTGGTCAATTTCATGGATATTAATTTGTATATATAATTGTGGAACCTGAAGAGAATTTATTGAAACGTTTATTCTTCGTTCGTATATCTGCGTCTTAATATGATAGGAATTTTCTACAAAGATAACTTCGGCAATTCCACCATTTGTGAGAATCTGGTTATGTGCGAGGACTGGTTTGTATTGAGATCACCTCATTTAAAATACGTTCTAGATTAACTTACTGTGGTGAAGCGATAAAACCACTTGGCATTTGTTCTGCTACTTCCCTCAAATTAAAAGGGCTCAAACTCAATATTGGTCACATGCTAGTCTACCGGGTAATTCCATTATTTATATCTCGTTAGTGCCCCATGATTCGTTTTGTGTGGTCTGTCAATAATGTAAATGTTTCGATTGGTTATGTTTGAGTCAGGTTTAACAATACATTAGAAGCAAAAATATGTAAGTCATGGCAAGTGTGAATTTGTCAGTCATGTGTTTGATGACTAATAATCTAAGGATGGATACCGAGCCTCCTATATCGCTTGTTATAAGCAGAGGAAATCATTCATCTTAACTTGTACTTCTCAGTGGTAATTTCGTAATCGACTTGGCTGGACAGCGAGCATAATAAATTCTGTTTACTTGAAAATTACGGTCAGTGATTTATTTTATCACTCTCATATACGTGTGGACCATCTCAGACTAATGTTTGTAGTCGCTGAATATAATACCTGATGAAATCCCGTGTTTTCTGTTTGTCGCTGTATATAATAATAATTTATTTTCAAATAACAGTTTGTTACATGAGGCATGCCAATTTACAGGCAAGATCAAATCGTTACAAATGATACAATACGCCCACGACTATTACTTCTACGATTACGACTAGCAATTCCAGTAATACTCCTACTACTGCGAATCCTGCCACTATTATTACTTCTACTGAGTTTACGAATCCTGCTGGTACTAATACTTCGATGACGAATTTAACTACAACGACTACTATCGATACGATGAATGCTACTACGATTGCTACTGCTACGACTAATAGAACTATACTATTACTAATTAGGCTACTACTACAACTACGGCTTCTTATACTATGACAGATACTACTACTATTACTGCGAAGACTACTGCTACGACTCATACTATCGCGACTACCATTAATAAGACTACTACCACTTCTACTTCAAATACGACTGCAACCACCACCACTAGGAAAGGGACCACAGCTACGAACACGACTAGAAGTAAAAATACGATCACCACTACCACTAATACTAACATTACAAATACGTGTACTACTACCATTACTACGACTTCTAATACTACCACTACTACTCATAATGATAAGATTTAAGCTACGAAAATAAACACTAATCAAACTACGTGACCATATCATAAAAATAATAATTAACTAATTAGCTCGTGCTATAATTTTAAATAATGTACTTTGCCTTAAACCTGGCCGATTTCTTAGATTGTTACCTTGAATGTATAATTGTAGATTCGAAGAGAATTTATTGAAATGAATATAGATCACCTAGTGTTCAGCAAAGCGTTGTGGACTGAATTTGTATAGGTTCAAAAATAATTAAAGCCAAATATGTAGCACTACCTGACGAACAATCTAAACAAAACCTAAGATTTCAGAAAATTCATAGTACAAACTCATCGTAAATTTCTGGCATTCGTATCTTCTGTTTGACCATAGAACTCAGCAATAGGAAATAAGGCACGCAATGGTGATGTAAGTAAAACATGTTAGTGAATAGTTTCTGACGGGAAATAGTTTATAGTGATTAAGCAGGAAAAGGAACTTACAACAGATATTTAATCCTGTCTTGCTTATACAAGTGAAGAAGTTACAAACAGATGTGCGTTCGTGGTGCCTTGTAGCTATATTTACGAGTGGTTGATATTTTAGCAGACAAATTACACAGGAGCACTTATATTCTGCTAATGCTTGTTGAAGAACTATGATAGCCGATTATAATCGTAGTTTAATGGTTAGTTTTATCGATTGAACTAGTTACTTACTAATCAACATTGATATAAAGCAACGAATGTTCACAGTAATTGAATAACTTATGTGGCGATAGAAATTAAACAGAATAAGTACAGAATACAATCAAAAATTATAATAAAAGGTTGCGTTTTTCGAAGTCTTGTTCACGTCAGGCTCGCCAGTGTAGATCACCAACGTAGATGATCGATGTCGAGTGATTGTGGGCCTACTCAAGTTAGACGGAAATGGTGTGACCAGCAGCTAACTTCGAAGTCACACCTTACGGTCAGCACCTAACGTAGATCACCCCTCCGTCCTGTCCAGGTACTACAGTTACTTTGATGATCGTAAAACACAAATAACGTTATTGCAGAAATGTTAGCAAACGTCGGTTCAGGAAACAGTGCGACCACAACCTCACGGGACTGTCCGTGGCGTGCGATTAACTGACGGGCGTTCGTTGTCCTTGACCCTGACGAGGGTCAGTGAATTGTCCAACATTCGGTGATCCAACTGCCGAATGATTTGGAGAGGACTCAGTGACATTTCGCTGGTACTACAAAAATATTCTTCGTTCATATATCTGTGATTTATTTGTGTAGCGCAGAAACATGTCACGTAGCCTCATGACTATTTTTCCATGCTTTTGGAGTTAAGTTAGCCTCTACGTGACTGAAGAAAAGCCAGGTCGCGAGAAAACTGTCTCTACACCACGACATAAACAACATCAACCCAAACTATGGTGGCGAACCAACAAACAGAAGCTACATGTGTATGAATTATTACTACAAATCTACTAAAAGCTGGGCGACTACAACGCATACCTTAGTCATTACAGATATTTCCAGTCCAGTACCAGTAAGGTTCATATATTGCAACTGTATTACTCACGAAAAAATAGTTCTTTATCGCATAATTTTTCAGTGATTCCTTGTATTCATCGGTTGGCAAACTAAATGTTCTTTTATTGGTTGATAAATTTCTAGTGGTAAGTATATCCGTTGCGTCGTATTAAACTGATTACTTTTGTGCTCATTCGCATTTATAATTGCTTGTTGTTGAGTTTATCACCTTGAATGTGAGTTTTCACTGAAGCTAATTAATATCCATTGCGAAACCACTTATGATTTATATATGCCTATACATAGATAATTCGAAAGGTCAAGAGTCTTTCGACTTTATTCGATTCTGAAAGTTATTCAGATGAATGTGACACATAGTGTGACAACACGTCCACTTTTACGACTCAACCAACTAATCCTGGCGCTAACATAATTGCATGACTTGATGTTTGAATATTATAAAGCTTAAAAAAATTTTACAGACAAGAAGATGGCGTTGTACTGTAATAAGTAAGTAACCCTACGATACGGAAACTAAATTCACATACTGTACGAATTACAATGCGAAAACTGTTTTAATCAATCTCATCAAATTCATTGATTTTTACTGTTGTACGTAGTTAAAAAGAATAAGGAAAACAAAGTATTTACAAATGAAACTCCAAAATAAACTACCCCGGTCTGTCATTTACTGGAAAAACCTCGGAAAAATCTTGGGCGCGACAAAGCTTCTTTTTTATGTTCGAGTCGATTTTGGATAACTCGGCAGTTATTTTTACAACCGTATTACATCTAAACATTGTCATGAGCTCCAGTTTAACAGCGCTTGAAATCTCTTTTATCGTATTTCCTTTCATACCTAAAACACTTAACTATAAAGCAAAATTAACCATTATACATTTTATATTTCCAATGAGAACCATTCGAATATTGTGAAATGTTCACAAAATCCGAATTGACATAATTTATAATTGAATACAAACAAGATTATTATCAAATATTAAAAAAATCGAATTCAATAACCTCGTACGGAACATATAGTAGGTTTTATGTTAAAGATATCACGTCTTATTAATATACAAAATAAAACAATAAAATGAATAAGCTCAAGTGTGAGCCCCACAGTAAGTGTGGAGGATAATGATATTACCCGGCTGCTCAAAGCGAACCAGTTAAAGCGGGGTTCGCATCTAGACCGTAGTTGTTAGAAGCCTAACAACTCACCCACTGAGCTACTAGATGAATTCATTTTGCTATGCAATATACCAGTACATAAGACCGGTTGTTAGCATATACGGTGACTAAGACGGGTCACCATATTTTTGGAGGTACTTGACGGATCGGTGATTTTAATAAGCACTATCGAATTTGAAATACTATAGTATTCAAATAGAAGTAAGGTTAGTACTCTACGGTATAAATCACATCTGTTTGGCACTAGTTATACGTAGGCTATTCAAATACTGAATTCGAGGTTTCGTATTTCCTGGAATTATTGCTTCAGGACTGGCCTGCGTCAACACCTGAACTAAGAATAGGGAGTGAAGTAGTCGAACGCGTTGACAACTTCACTTACCTTGGGAGTCTGATCAGCCATAATGAGTTGGTGTCTGACGATTACCACGACGTACAATGCTAACCGGTGTTCGGGATGGTTGGAAGAAATGTAGGGGCGGCCAAACCAAAACGTGGCATCAGCGCTTGAAGTCACTAACTTCTAGTTTGAGCCATGTCGGTAGATTCAGACTACTTGGTTGGGGTCCGCGTGACTATCGTAACCAATGGTTGGAGACTCTAGGTGACATGGCTCAGAATCAATCACAATGGCGTCGGTGTATACACTCTTCGTCTTCCCTTAAACAGAGAGATTAAAATCACTTCATATCTTTCTTTCTAGGAATTAATTCTTTCTTCCTGTACAATATCCTTATTGCAATCTTTCTTTTATATATTACCACCTCTGAATTAATTACTTTTATGAATCCGGTGTCCATCTTGTTGTGTTAATGAGGTATGGCAACCTGGACCGATGTATAAATGAGCCTGGTCCTACGTTGTAGCTGACTGACTGATTTCCTGGAAAGAACTTTACGACTGTAAACAGAAAGCCATATGAAATGATGATACGTGAAGTTTCAGGATAAAAGCTTTCCTAACTACAATTTGTTAAAATAAAGAACCAAAATGATGGTCATATAACTGAAAACCTTACCGCTCTCAACATTACTAAATGGTATGTACGAAAAAAGTGAGGGGTAATGAACTAAATTATATATCAGAATTAAGACAATTCAGATGAATGTCATGGCTAGGACACCTCATATTTTATAATCGATAAGTTGAGGCTAACCGAATACATCAGTGACCAAACGGTATTGCTACCGTGACGTGGTGGTCGGGCTTGCCTATCGTGATGAAGCAACCGAGCTATACTGGCTGGAACAACCGTTCCTCAAGGTCCTACCATGCCAGACAGGCCGGTTGAAGAGCGGTAAGACTAAAAGCAACAAACCCAAGGTCCGAAGGCGAAGTCGTACTGCTGACTGTACAGAGGTGTGACAGCAGTAAGGTGTTTCCTTCAGACAACCAGCATGACAGCGATGCTGCCTTCACACAAGGAGGGGTGGGGTTAGAAAAGGTCGACCCTAAAAATGTACACCTCGCCTTATCCCACGGATATCCGTCTCCGGCGGTAAGGTCTCAACACGTACGGAGCTAACACAAAAATTACTCATAAAAAGGTCGTGTGTGACCGACCTCAGGCAGTTGTACCTTGGGGACTGCTGTCACGCTCTCAGATCAATATGACCACCTCTAGTCTAATTTCCTTTCCAGATACCTCCAGAAGAACCCTTCCACGGTGTGGGCAACCGGGAAGTGATAACCGCCCTCATACCTCTAACAGCACTCAAGACCACTGTATTCATAATAAACCTCCCTCTTCAATTCCCATTATTCCTCCTACATCGACTTTCAACTCTAAACTTCCTCTTTTGGCTTCCTCCTCAAGTGTCACCATAGCCAACGATTCTAGTGCGCGAAACACTGTTCCAGGTCTACTGAAACCTCGCTCCAAACTACACATTGGAGTCTTCAACGTACGCACCCTATGTCAAATCGGTCAACAGGTTTCCTTGGCTAGAACTCTAGAATCTCGTACCATTGATGTATGCTGTGTCTCTGAAACACGCATACAGGATCCTAGTGTGGTCAGTCGACCTCACCTCGGCAAAACGTAGAGCCAACGAGGTACACCCTCCGTCTATCTAGTGACCCGACGGCCAATTCTCGTGGACTGGCACGTGTGGGCATAGCACTAAGCATGAGGGCGGAACAAGCATTATTAGAGTGGATTCCCGTTAACAGTCGTTTATGTGCTGTTCGGCTAAACGGCTCCGTAAGAACTCGGAAGGATAGGGACAAACGTCGTTGTCTTTTCGTCATTTCTACCATTTAGGTGGGTATTTTAGTATCATGGCTCAGCAAACAGATAACGGTGATCGTCTGCTGCAACTGTGCTCAGACAATCGTTTATTTTTAGCAAACACAAATTTTAAGCATAAGGAGAGACATCGTCTAACATGGCGACCCCCTACACCAAACCAAAGATGGACTCAAATAGACCATATTGCCATCAGTCATCGTTGGAGAGGGTCGGTATAAGATTGTCGCTCATTCTGAAGTACCTGCTTGGACTCCGACCATGCACTAATGCGGGCACGCATCTGCTTGTGCCTCACTGGGCGCAAAAAAGCCACACTAAAAAGACACAGAGCTGAAATGAGTAGCGAGAAAACCAAAAGTTGAACCTAAGAACAACTGAGGCCACACTTAGGTAGTCCTGAAAACGAGGCTGACTCAGATGTTTCTTGGAAAGATATACAAGTAGCTGTGGAAACAGCAGTGACATCTATCAGTGATTTAAACCACAGGGTTACAAAGAATCAATGCATTTCGTCAAGGTCTATTGCACTGATGGATTCTCGCAAACTCATCCCATCACGGTTCTGAACTCGATAAAGAGCGTAAACAAATCAGGCCTAGGTTAACCAAAAGTCTAAGAAACGACCGTGAGCAGTGGTGGGCAACGAAAGCAAAAAGATGGAAAAGGTGTCGGCTATAGGGAACACAAGACAGCTCTACATACTAATAAAAGAAACTGCAATTAATGAGTCAAGTGTAAGTCAGACTATTTCGGAAAAACACGACACTTTTATCTGCTCCCAGTCCAGACGTCTAGAATGATGAGCGGAACATTTCGGAGAACAGTTCAGCTGGTCCTCAGCTACCCTGTGCATCTACTCAACATTCCCAGACAGCCTGAATGGAACATTGAAGTGGGTCCCCCAACTCTAGCTGAAGTTCAAGAGGCTATAGCTAATCTGAAACGAGGAAGAGCAGTTGGTCCAGATGGATTGGCTCCAGAGGTCTTTAAGTGTGGTAGTCCAATTTTAGCGATTAGGCTGAGTAATATTTTAGCTAAAATCTGGGAGTTGGACGTAATCGCATCTGACTGGTTGCAATCACTGATTGTCCCAATACATAAGAGAGGGTTAAAATCATCCTGTGATAACCATAGAGGGATTAGTTTAACTAATATAGTATCTAAAATACCAGCCTCGATAATTATCAGGCGCCTAGCTAAGACTCGTGAACTGCAAACACAAGAAAATCAAGCTGGCTTCAGACATGGTTGTGGCTGCATCGACCACATATTCACCATTCGTCAGGTTTGAGAACACAGGCATGCTTATCGGCGTCCGACAATAGTGGTCTTTCTTGACTTAAAAGCAGCATTTGACTCTGTAGACCGAGAGGTTCTGTGGCAGTGTGTGTCATTGAAAGGTGTAGCTAAGAAGTGCATAAACCTTGTGAAGGCTCTTTACTCGAACACTACCAGTTTAGTCAGAGGTTATGGCGAACTGTCATCCGATTTTTCAACCTCAAGTGGTGTCCGTCAAGGCTGTCCACTATCTCCATTTTTGTTCAATTTCATCATAGACCTACTGATGGAAACAATGTTCTCGTTGACTGAATTTTCGGGAATTGATCTCCTACTAGGAGGTCCGTCTATCGACTTAGAATACGCAATGATATAGTTCGGTTTGGTGAAGACGCTGATAAAATGCCCAGGATGTTTGTGATGCGTTTCTCTCGCTCTAATTGCGAATTGTTGCTCCAGGACTAGCCTCGTCGACTGAATTTCCGAGATATCCGTCTCTCAATTAAGGGACGAGTATACTGAGCAGCAGTTCGATCTGTTCTACTTTACGGCTGCGAAACGCGACCATTGAGGGTAGAAGATACTCGTAAGCTACTAGTATTTGACAACAGATGTTTTAGAAATAATACTGGTATCTGCTGGGCTCACCGGGTAAGTAATAGTGAGGTTAGACGTAGGGTATTGGGGAATGATAGTAAATCAGTTGATGAGGTTGTGAATCTTCATCGACTGAGATGGTTGGGTCACGTGTTGCGTATGCCTGAACACCGATTACCACGACGCGCAATGCTAACCGGTGTTGGGGATGGTTGGAAGAAAGTTGGGGGCGGCCAAAGCAAAACGTGGCATCAGCGCTTGAAGTCACTAACTTCTGGTCTGAGCTATGTTGGTAGATGTAGACTACTTGGTTGGTGTCCACGCGAATATCGTAACCAGTGGTTGGAGACTCTAGGTGACATGGCTCAGAATCGATCACAATGGCGTAGGTGTATACATTCTTCGTCTTCTCTCAAACCATGAGATTAAAATCGCTTCATATCTTCCTTTCTACAAATTAATTCTTTCTCCCTGTTTTATATCATTACGTGCAACCTTTCTTTTATATATTACTACCATTGAAGTGACTACTTCTATGAATTTGGTGTTCATCTTGTTGTGCTAATGAGGTGTGGCAACTTGGACCGATGCGTATATGTGCGTGGTCCTACGTTGTTGCTGACTGACTGAGTAACTTAAGTGTTAACTACCAACCCACACTTCGAAAAATAGATTCCTGGAACTGCTCCATTTGTGGACATGAATATCTTACTTATTAGTGAGTAAAAATTATTATTTAAATATTGGTTGAGGAAATTAAAGATAAAATCCATGATAAAAGAATCATTTTTTCTACTTTACTACGAGGTCCCGAACTGTTATTAACAAAATGTGTCGTTGATTTCTGGGTGATAATCAAAATGAAATGCCTTAATAAAATAGATATCTGTATACTCCATCATCTTTTTCAGTAACGTTTTATTATGTAGTTTATTTAGTTTTGTTGTATAACAGTTTAGATTGATTTCTACTAGATGGAGGACATTTTGTCAGCTAACTGTCATCCCAGTGACCTTAAATATATCCCCAATGTAATACATACATAATGTGAAGTGCATGCACTGAGTACACTTAAGACCAAACCAGTTAACACACATAAAACAATATCGGTCTGTAAAGTTAGGGTCTATTAATTGTTTATGAATATTCGATCAGAAAAGCGCAGACTGTGGTCACATATATATCTAAATTTATAACAGATTTATAATACTAGACAATAATTTAAGACACAACTAATAATAAACTATTGGCAGAAACTTACTAACTGACGTTCATTTTTACATTGTATGCGGACGTGAACGTATACTCGATCATCACCACTGTCCAGTTTAATTTTGTCACAATCATCTATAATAATATGCAACGAGTATGGAATTTCTTGCTGTAATTTGTTGAGACAGTGTGACCATACACACATTCGTATGAGTTCACTTGGTTCTTGATCAGTTATAATTGTTGGAGGTAGGATCCAAGAGCGAGTCGGTAAAGCTTTGGATACAAGGAAGTCCTATTGTAAAACGTAAGAATTTTTCCTATTTTATCTGTAAAAACCAGTAACTTAGAAATAGAAGTAAACTAATTCTAATTGTTATTATAGTAAGAGTTTCAAAACCTTATACAAGCTCAATAGTTCATTTTCTTGAATAATTTTCAGTTGGGTAGAATCACAACAAATATATACCAACTTAATACTAAACATTGTATATATCTATAACTCACCCTCAATTTGTCTATCCCATCGCCTATAAACGAAGAGACCATGAAAACCTCGCTGAAACCTAACCACTTTGTAACCCCTTTAGTTGATTTTGTTATTTCTAACCAACGACTTCGACGATTGCAAACTTCCTCAGGTGATGCTGTTTGAAGTAATAATTGTTGTTTTAACGTCTCCAACATAGAATCTATATGTTCTGAATCACTGTTTGCATTCAGAATTCGATTCGATTCACCACATGCGTTCAAAAGATGTTGGTTGATTTCAGTCTTTGATTTATCAAGGCCTTGACTATCTGAAGGCATTAATTTATCATTTCCCGGTATGTTATGGCAATCAAAAAATGTATCCCTGTGTTTTTTTTCCATTTCAGTTAAAAAACGATCTTCTAGGAAGGCTAAAATCAAAAGAAATAAAAATAAATCAATACTTATGGCTCATTATCATGATGTAGCCACCAGTACGACATTACATGATTTACGCCGGATTGTATTTAATAATAGATATTACTGGGGAATCAACTAGCATTGACGAAAATTGATTTATAAATATAAAACAGTCACAACCTATGTAAAAAATTAGTAAGCTCTTCAAAAATCCGAACACCTGCTATCAAACAGAGCTATTAAAGGCAATAATGAGCATTAGTGAGATCGAAGTGTACGTACGCAAGTTGTTCATTAGATTTAATATGACAGGAGACTACAGTGTAATATAATCAACGAACGAGGAAACTTTGAAATTTTCTAGATTCCTTTCCTTCAAACAAAACATCCACCAAACGCAATCCTAAAAGAAAGGTGATAAACAAAGTAATTACCATTTAGACATGGTATTCCAGTTAACTTAGGTGAATCAACTACTTAAAACATTTTTTAGGTTGCTGAAGGCAGCTAGATGGAGACCAGGTCAAATATATAAATAGCTCACTACGAACATATATGCTGAGTTTGATCAGGTAGCATAACATGGACCGAGACCTATACCAAAATACATTCGTTTCCCAAATTCACTGAAAGCAATCATCAAGAAATATTCTCCACATACTCGAGAACATTATTGATTTAATCCCCCTGAAACTCACTGAATGATTTAATCGAGTTTCAAAAGTACCTTCACATCCTCATCCAGCGTAACAAGTCAAATAAAATTACCACTTTGATTAAAGCCTTCTTTGCTTAGACTTGAAGCCTCGATTATTTTTAAAAAAAAATGAAACAGTCGCATTTTACATTTGCATCAAATCACATCATCCATATAAAAGGCATACACAATAATATGAATGTAAGCCGATTGGTCAAATACAAAGTTATCTAACCAATCAGTGAGTTACATGAGTATGAATATCTGAGCAAAAATCAGTTCACTTGAAGTTGAAGAAACGTCCTTAAATGAGTACTTATATTGTTGAAATATAAACGAAGTTGAGTCATCCAACGTTTGCTACCCAACCACTTAACATCAGATCCAGTCATGATTGCAAACATGATCAATGAAAACATGTAAGCACTGTAAACCAGGAGACATAATTTTAGTTAGTACATAAACCAACATTTCAAGACTATAAACGAAATAACTGGGAATTCTGGCGTGGTATGGATTCAAAACGCCCAATTTATGATTCCGAACATGTGTTATTTGTAACAACCCCACAGGGAACACTAATTACTAAACAACAGTTTGGCACACGTAATAGCAGTCAGTTATCTGACATACAGTGTGAAGGAGTTGGTGACTCAAGCCAAACTATACATCTCAAATAAAACCATTAAATTATTACGAACCACTGACATCTTAGCACAACTAACAATATGTGACACCTCTAACAGCACTCGAGACCACTGTATTAAGTAATCCCGAAGTTGAAATAAATTCATAGCTAACGAAAATTGCATTATATGTACGTCAGTTTATCCACAAGCACATGGTTAGGAGACATTTGGTACGCAAAGACATGTGTGGTCGCAATAATACAATGTTAGCTTAAGTGAAATCAAAATCGACGAACCATAAACAGGGACAAAACAAGACAAATTTATGCCAGTATCCGTCAATATTAGAATGAGTAGTTTGACAAAAATTGAACACCGAGTATAGAGAAGCCATTATTTGTGAAAATTACATTTGAAATAATCCAACGGTTCGTCTAGTAGACTTGTCTGGACTTCGGCAGGGTAATAATCAAAATTATCAAAGAATATTTAATATTCAACAGTCAAATTAAATCTATACTGTGCTCATCCAATCATATTCAGATCCTGACTTTAGTAAGTGGGATATTATGCTTGTTTGTTTGTGAGTTTGATTTATTAATAGTTCATATTAAGTGTTAATTTGCTTTTTGTTTATTAGAAGAATAAAAATGTGAATTGAAAATGTCTTTGAAACATCGATGTGTATGTAAAATAAGAATCACCAAATACATAATTGTAATGGCAAAATATTCAAATTCATTTATGTAAAAATAACGGTTCATGAGAAGTAAACAGGCTGGATAGAGTTAGGGTCTAATCACTTGTTAATGACTATTTGCCAAGAGGTGACTAGTTGAATACCGGCCTTTTTTGTTCGGGCTGGTCTTGTTGGCCCATATATATAGCGCTTCTGCTGTAGGTCTTTTTTTATGCATGCCAAACTCTTTCCGAAGTATTTGGGTCCTTTCAAAGTTCATCTTGTGTCCTGTTTCTAACGAATGTAATGCTATCCACGACCTACTCTCAAGTTTCTTAAAATCAACCGACTATTTGAGAACATGTTTCAAGCATTGTTTGTGTTCCTTCAACCTTACAATCAACTGTATTACAATCATGACAATTATTCTCATAGACAACGTTCTGTTGTTCTTCCTCTGGAAATTTATCATTTCATTAAGGCTGATATATTATAGTACCACTGGCCCGAAAATACACTCTTATATTACGTTTGTTTAAAATCCTCTTAATTTATTCTCTTTTCTTTACGGAATGGGATGATCACGGTATTCTCCCATTCTTTTGTTATACGCTTTAACTTAGTTTTTCTTCCATTTCTAACAATCTTCTTTAAAAACTCTTTAAAGTAATGGTTTGCCCTCAGTGTAGACAATATTAAGTCCAATTCAGTCTATTGATCTTCCTTTTCTGTAATCAGATTACAGCAAGCACGAGCTGAACTGTACCTCCCAGAATGTGTTAATTTCTTGAATACATTAAATTTTAACTTATTATTATGTCTTTTCTCGACTAAACAATCGAGAAATGCTAGTTTGTATTCAGTGGACCCTATCTCCTTAGCTAACTTAATGCTATCCGATATGTTGTTTAAATTTTCATATATTTCTTCCCAACCATTTTGTTCAACGGTAACAAAACTGTCATCTACATACAATAACCAAACTTTGGGTGGATTTACACATCATGTAATCGTACTGGTTTCAAAAGAATCCATGGATAAATTCGCTACAATCGGAGAAGTTGATGAATCGTACACTCAAATCTGCATCAGATTTTAAACAATCATAAATAACATCCAATGCTGTATTGATAGGTACATTAGTAAGTAAGGAAGAAACATTAAAACTTGCCATCAATTCATCATCTTCCATGTTAATGATATCAATATTATTCTTGTATTCAGCAGTTTTTAATCTCATGATCAACCAATTTGTTATTTGGTTTGAGTATCTTAGCTAAGTATTTCGCCAGTTTATACGTCGGTGAATTTGTAAAATCAACTAGCGGTCTTAGTGGTGTATTATTATTGTGAATCTTTGGTAGTCCATAGAATCTACAAGGATTACAAATTTATGGATATAATGTGAACCATAATGACGGTCCTAGTTTTATTTTAATCGACTGTATGCTTTTGCTCGTTACAGTCTTAAGCTTATTAAGTATGGTTCATAGTTTCGTTTCTTTGATCAACTCGTACGGGTTAATTTTGAGAAGTTCACTGGCCTTCTTCTCGCAGTCTGATTTGCTCAAAACAAAAGTCATGTTCTCCTCATCCGCTCTCGTGATGATAGTTGGCCTGTTATTTCCCAGCTGTTTTGATGGATAGAACTCATCTTCGGTTAGATTGGAAATGTATGGTTTTATATGTAATAAAGTGGGCACAATTTTATTTTTCAGTTCATTCTGTTTCATTGGAAAGGCAATTCAATGCCCGTTCAGTTGCAGTTACAATATTGAGGAGTGATAATCGTTATCTATTTATATTGAAATTAAGATCCTTTTTAAATAAAAACATTTCGTGAGTACTTAGACTTCTATCTGATAAATTAATGACCAATTTGTTAATATCAAATTTGTTGCATTTGTCTCCAGTTTACTGAACTTTGTAGTTAGATGTTTATCTTATGATTTTTTGAATTATTTAATCTGTCGCTGTTTAGACGATTGATAATAAAACTGATATGTGTACGGGAAATGTAAACTGAACAACAGAATTGACTGTAAAGATTACTAGGCAAAATATTTCGGAAACGATATTGGCCACAACGTTAAACATATTCTCTAAGTGATTAGGATGTGATTTTTATGGCTTTGTTATACTTCAATATCGCGCAATAGTATCCCTTTTCACCAATAAAACAATACATTTACTCAAAGTTAGTGGTTCCTATCGGAAACTGATGGTAGTCAAAAACAACTGTATAACAGAAGTTGATAGAGTCGGTTTATTCTGCTTAAAAAACTCATCTGACCTGGGGATCGAAGCCTTTTTTAATTTAACTGAATCATCATAAATACTAATCTGGAGAAATTAGCTGATTTCTATCTTAATATTATACTAAAGTGTAAATGGTAATGGAGGTAGTGCCTTTTAGAGTAATAAAACGCAAAAATCGACAAAGTATAAAAATTAGTATTTGAAAATGTAGGATTGGATTCGAATAACACTTACTATCAGATAGTGATTTTTTCTCTTCCATATTATCTGGTAGCAACTTAGAATCTGTTATATCCACGTCAACCTGTGTCGATTCAATTTCAGCCAGAAGATTATTCATATACACAAGAAATTTATTCGTTGTTTGGTGGCATACAGCAGGTAATCTATCTGCAATCAATTCATTTGGAGGAATGAGATGATGAGCTGTGTCAGCTAACTTTGCTTGACGTTTAAACCGATATGCATATCTATCAATATGTGAACGTCGACCACGTACGATGCCACCAGTAAGTTTCCGAGTTACGTCCAATAGTCTAGTTGGATTTTTAGACAATCTATCAATCTATAGTAATATTGATTAAAAGAGCAAATAGAAATAATACGATGAAATTCATATTGTTTTTTAGAAACTTCGAATCACTGAGGGAATATTTTATTTACCTTGTTTAGTACTAATACTGATTCTTTATCGTTAAAAAAATGTAGTGCTTTTACGATTTCTTCATGAAGTACTTCGCGTGACTCCTTATGACTGACATCAATAACCACAAGAACTGGGAATACAAAAAAGACACAAAACAGGTTAAATATTACCTAAAAATCTCTAAGAATCATAAAACATTACTTATCCTATCTTCTGTTTTGGATATTTTTCAGTTAATACATTAATTTCCTGACCAACATTATTGCATTTCAATATGTAATCATATGAGATTTGAGGATTAGTCCCCTGAGAAAATTATGGATTCGGTCACTAAAGTTTTATCAAATCGATCGAAACATCATAAGAACTAATAAGATGCACATACGGAGGGGATATTCCAACCTTTTGTGCCAGATTTTATGCAACACGCACTTTAAATTACCAGGTGTAAATTGAGCAAATAGTTAAAACTAAAACATCCCAGATAGTTAGTTGAATTGTATAGAAGTAGATGGGATGAAGCCAAGCGTTTTCACGATTAGCAACAAACCATTTTGATCCGCCTTGTAAGCACCCTTGATTGATGAAAGTCTCAAATATTGAAGCCAGTTAGTAGTATACGTCATGTCCCTGACATGGACGCATTCTAGCTGTGCTAGTGCTACCAAGAAGATAATCGTACAATTTTACAATAAGGTGTGCAGTGATTTTAAAGATTAGTTGTCGCAATATTATTAGCTGTGATCTCCAAATTGTATCTGCACTTACAATAGAGTATAAAGCAGCTATTATTATTAAGTCGAATAGTATTTGAAGATATTATTCCCTTAAAGTTTCGCACATCGTTCTAGAAGATATGTGGAACAATTTAAGGAGCAGCTCAGCTGGCCATCTCCAGCTACCCAGCATTTCCAGACAGCCTAAATGGAACAGTGAAATAGGTCTACTGATTCTAATCGAAGTTGAAAAAGCTATAGCTCATCTGAAAAGAGGAAGGGCAGCTGGTACACATGGATTAACTACGGAGGTTTTTAAGGATGGTGGTCTAGTTTGATGTATAATGATGAGTTCCACTTAGCTGATTGTTCAACGATGATCAGTAGTGTCGTAATTTGGTCTGTGCACGACCTATCCTTACGGAATCCAGCCTGTTGATCACGAAGTTGAGGGTCTACTAAGTCATCCGGTTCAGCAACACTCATTTGAAAACTTCCTGGTACTTACAGTAGTGTAATGCCTCTGCACTTCACATATTTGCTCAGATCTTCTTGATGAGGTATTTTTCTTTCCAGTCTGTCGGCACTTGTTCTCCCTCGCAAATCTTCATCAATAGAAGGTGAAGCATATTTGCAGTTACTTCTGTGTCTAACATTAGTGCTTCAGCTGATATACTGTCAGGTCCTACTCCTTTCGCACTCGTCATTTCTCTGATGACCATCATGATTTCTTCGATTGTTGGTGGAGTGATATCTATGAGGTCTGTGTGTGCTGCTTCGATTTCCGGTGAATTCAATGGAGCTGGTCTATTCAACAGTTCCTCGAAGCACTCAATCTATCTGTTCCTCTGTCCTTGAATCTCCATGATTGTCTTTTCTTCTTTATCCTGGACTGGTCTCTCTGGTTTACAATATCTCCCTGCTAGTTTCTTCGTTGTGTCATATGGTTGTTTCATATTACCTTCTCTTGCAACTTCTTACACTTTCGTTGCTAGTTCTTCCGCGTATTTCTGCTTGTCGACTCTAATAATCTTCTTCACTTGCTTGTCTACTTCTATGTATTCAGCTTGTGCCTTAACTTTCTCTGTTTCTTGTTCGGCTGCTCTTAATTTCTGTCTTCTTGAATCTTGTGTGGGGTTTCGATAGTGATTCGTTCCTTATGATGTTTCTTGCGAACGAGCACCTCCTGACATGTTGAAGTTAGTGCTTCTTTGATCCCTTTCTAATCGTCCTCCATAGTAGCTTGTTGTTTTTCTTTCAGTAGATCCTGTAAGGCTTGGGACCTGTTGTTGAGAGTTATCTTAAATTCATTAAGTTTATCAGTATGTCGAAGGAAGGCTGTATTGAAATTTTGTAATGCTGTTCCCTCAGCTGTCCAATGCTTCCTTAACTTCAGTTTCATCTTGGCCACAACCAAGTGGTGATAAAAAGCTATGTCAGCTCCTCTCCTGGTTCTCACATCTTCCATTGACCTTGCGAATTTTTTATTGATACAAATATGATCTATCTGATTCTCTGTGGTGTGGTCCGGTGAGACCCATGTAGCTTTGTGTATGCGTTTGTGTGGGAATATTGTGCCACCTATAATTAATTTGTTGAATGCACATAGATTTGCAAATCCCTTGCCATTCTCGTTCCTTTCTCATAGTCCGTGTCCTCCCATGATATCTTCGTAATCGTTGGTGTTTATCCCGACTTTGGCGTTTAGATCTGCCATCAGGATGGTCAGGTCTTTTCCTGGGCACTTCGCTATGATCCATTGCAGCCTCTCGTAGAACTGATCTTTATCGTCGTCATTGTTATCATTAGTGTGTACATCACATTGAATAACATTCATTGTAATTCCCGCCTTCTTTGTTTTGAATGATGCTTTGATGATCCTGGGTCCATGAGATTCCCATCCTATAAGTGCGTTTTCGTGCTTCTTTGGGCAGCATCAGAGCAACTCCCTGAGTGTGTGGAGCATTTTCCTCTTCGTGACCGCAGTACAGCAACATCTCTCACGTATCTATGCCTTTGCTGTCCAGCTTGGGTCCAATGGGTTTCGCTGATTCCGAGAACCGCCAAATTGTATCTCCTCATTTCCGTTGCTATTTGACTGATGCTCCCGATCTCCCACATAGTCCGGACGTTCCATGTACCTATAAAAATTGTTGCTCTGGTTGTTAGAAGGGGCGTCAGCCTCGCGACCGCTTCACTTATCTTGGAAGTCTCATCAGCCTTTGTGGTCTGGTGTGTGACGAAATCTCAGCACGGATACAGAAGGCTCAACTAGCTTCTGCCAACTTGCTTCATTTATGGAGTAGGCGAGATATCCGTCTATCAACCAAAGGACGTGCTTACTGCACAGCAGTTCGTTCCATCCTACTTTATCGCTGTGAAACATGGCCGGTAAGAGTAGAGGATATTCGTAGGTTACTAGTATTTGATCATAGGTAACTTCGAAACATTGCTCGTATATCATAGGACCATCGAGTAAGTAACACAGTTGTTAGGAAACGGGTACTAGGTAAGGATGGCAATCAATTGATGAAGTGGTGAAACTTTATCAGTTGAAATGGCTGGGACACGTGTTACGTATGCCCAACGATCGACTACTCGACGTGCTATGTTCAGTGGTATAGGAGTAGGTTGGAAGAAAGCTAGGGGCGGCCAGACCAAAACATGGCACAAGTCCATGAAGTCACTGACAAGTGGACTGAGTCATGTTGGTAGGTGTAGACTACCTGGTTGGGGACCGCGAGATGATAGCAACCGATGGTTAGAGACCCTGAATGACATGGCTCAAAATCGTTTGCAATGGCGCAGGTGCATCCACTCTCTGTGTTCTCCAAATTCTAATCTTCTGAATTCTTCATGTCCCTTTTTTCCTCTTCCCAAATTTACTTCACTGTATTATACTCTTTAAATAACATCTCCAAACACTAATTTTCCTGATTACTGCTTATACTCTTATTACCTCTACCACTACGAGATTTGAATCGACAACTGCATCTCTGTGCCAATGTGGTGTAACAACTCGAACTGATGTACGTACGTACGAAGTTCTACGTTGTTACTGACTGACTGACAGCCTCGCGACTTACGAAGAATCTCGGCTTTCATCATGAGGCGTCATCATTCTTCCTTCAACTCCTAGGGCAGAGTCTAAATGGTTAGTTTGTTTATTCTGGTTAGCGTTTTTTAGCAAGGTTGTTTTCTAAGGGATAGGTTTGCTGACCCCATGCCCAACTCTCCCCCTTTACCTTGGCGTGGGACCGGCAGTAACTCTAGAAGTGCTACAGGTGGAGTTTTTAGCTAAAATCTAGAAAGTGGATGTAAATTCATCTAATTGGTCGCAATCACTGACCGTCTCAATATATAAGAAAGTATCAAATCCATCCTGTGATAATTATAGAGGGATTTCTTTAACTAATATAGCATCTAAAATAGTAACCTTAATGATTATCGGACTCCTAACAAAAAATTGCGAACTGTAAACATAAGAAAATCGGGCTCGTTTCAAACCTGATCATTTATTCAAACACATAAACATGGAAACAAGAGGCACCAAATTCAAGTCCCACACAATTATCATTGATTTGTTTGAGGGCTAAGATACTGCCTAGGTATTATTTATTATTTATTTGAACACATAAATATTGGTACAACAGAGCGCCAATATATATGCGCCACACAAAACAATGGGAATTCGAAGAGAAGTAGAAAGAAGAAAAAAAAACTAAGGAACGCAAAAGAAAAAGAGAACAATGACGAGGAGATTGGAGTAAGGTAGTGTGGTAGTAACGACGGAACGAAAAGGTACAATCAGAAGAAATCTTTCAGGTAAAGGAGACACAACCACTTTTTATGAAGAAAGTAAAAGAAGGTTACAGCAGGATCGCCACTGGCTTCTATTCTGAGCCATATCTGATAACGTCTCTAGCCACTGTGTAGCACCATCTCTCGGACCCCAGCCAGGTAGTCGTGAAGGACCAACACAAGCCAGTCCTTTGCAGCTTTCTTTCATGCCACGACACCATGTCATGCACTGACCACCTCTCCGCTTCTTCCAACCAGTCCCAGAGTCGGCAAATAATGCACGACGTGGAATTCTCTGGGACGACATTCGGAGAACATGTCCAAGCCACCGAAGTCGGTGTTTCAAGATGGTGACACCAATTGAGTTATCATCTCTGTGCCCGAACACACGATGCCGAACCTCTGCATTACTGACATGATGTTGCCACTGAATGTCAGCAATCCTTCGGAGACAGCGATGATCGAACACAGAGAGTCGTCTAACGTCCTCAACTCGGAGAGGCCAGGTTTCACAAGCATAGAGCAAAACTGCTCTCACCGACGCGTTGTAGATCCGGCCTTTCACAGCCAGACTAACATCACGAAGGCGCCAAAGGTGACCCAGATTGGCATA